GCCTATTATGATGACGCTCATTATGTTTAATATTTTCTCCCATATATATATTTAATTAAATTAATATTGATATGCGATTAGACTAATGGCTTAAATGAACTACTACTAGTCGACTAGAAAAAAACTTTAGTCGTGCACGGGCAGCCCAACTTATTTAACATATTTTCTAACCAGCATGTCACTGCGGGCGTTCTGAGCGAGTGGCGCTGTGGACTGAGCGAGCGAAGCTACTCTTCAAAAAGGCGCTCTCTCTGGAGGACAATGATCCTCCATGTGAGATTCCTTTGAAACATACACGGCAAATAGCAAATTTTTTTCATTGTTTCTCGACACATCATAGCAGCCTAATTCCACACCGGCGATGACATGACTGCCAAATCATTTAAGTCCCCACGCATCATATAGGCTACCTCCTCACGTTTTGACGTCATCAAATTGTGATCGGTTTGTGAGATCGGCCAAGTTGAGTGAGTACCGATCGAGTCATAAAATGTGATGATTGGCCGATACCGATCTCTGGCCGATCGATCAGAGCATCCCTAATAACAAGTGTTCCACAACATGGGTGGGTGGATGGGTGGGTGGAAGGAAGGATGGATGGGTGGAAGGATGGATGGATGGATGGATGAATGGGTGGATGGGTGGGTGGAAGGAAGGATGGATGGGTGGAAGGATGGATGGATGGGTGGAAGGATGGATGGATGGGTGGAAGGATGGATGGATGGAAGGATGGGTGGGTGGGTGAATGGGTGGATGGGTGGATGGAAGGATGGGTGGGTGGGTGAATGGGTGGATGGGTGGGTGGAAGGAAGGATGGATGGGTGGAAGGATGGATGGATGGATGGATGGATGGATGAATGGGTGGGTGGATGGATGGATGAATGGGTGGGTGGAAGGATGGATGGATGGGTGGAAGGATGGATGGATGGGTGGAAGGATGGATGGATGGGTGGAAGGATGGGTGGATGGATGGATGGATGGATGGGTGGAAGGATGGATGGATGGGTGGAAGGATGGATGGATGGGTGGAAGGATGGATGGATGGGTGGAAGGATGGATGGGTGGGTGGATGGATGGATGGGTGGAAGGGTGGAAGGATGGATGGATGGATGGGTGGAAGGATGGATGGATGGATGGGTGGAAGGATGGATGGGTGGATGGGTGGAAGGATGGATGGATGGATGGATGGAAGGATGGATGGATGGGTGGATGGATGGATGGGTGGAAAGATGGATGGTGGATGGGTGGAAGGGTGGGTGGTAGGAAGGATGGGTGGATGGATGGATGGGTGGAAGGATGGATGGATGGATGGGTGGATGGAAGGGTGGATGGGTGGATGGATGGGTGGATGGAAGGGTGGATGGGTGGATGGAAGGGTGGATGGGTGGGTGGAAGGGTGGGTGGGTGGAAGGGTGGGTGGGTGGGTGGAAGGGTGGATGGGTGGGTGGAAGGGTGGATGGGTGGGTGGAAGGATGGATGAATGGGTGGAAGGATGGATGAATGGGTGGAAGGATGGATGGATGGATGGGTGGATGGGTGGAAGGATGGATGGATGGGTGGAAGGATGGATGGATGGGTGGAAGGATGGATGGGTGGATGGATGGATGGGTGGAAAGATGGATGGATGGATGGATGAATGGGTGGATGGGTGGAAGGATGGATGGATGGATGGATGAATGGGTGGATGGGTGGAAGGATGGATGAATGGATGGATGAATGGGTGGATGGGTGGATGGGTGGAAGGATGGATGGGTGGATGGGTGGAAGGATGGATGGATGGGTGGGTGGAAGGGTGGAAGGATGGATGGATGGGTGGATGGGTGGAAAGATGGATGGATGGATGGATGGGTGGACGGACGGATGGATGGATGGATGGATGGATGGATGGATGGGTGGATGGGTGAGTGGGTGGATGGGTGAGTGGGTGGGTGGTAGGAAGGATGGGTGGATGGGTGGATGGATGGATGGATGGATGGATGGATGGGTGGAAGGATGGATGGATGGATGGATGGATGGAAGGGTGGATGGAAGGGTGGATGGGTGGGTGGATGGAAGGGTGGATGGGTGGGTGGATGGGTGGGTGGATGGGTGGGTGGAAGGATGGATGAATGGGTGGAAGGATGGATGAATGGGTGGAAGGATGGATGGATGGATGGATGGATGGGTGGATGGATGGGTGGATGGATGGGTGGAAGGGGATATAGGGATGGATGGGTGGAAGGGTGGATGGATGGATGGATGAGTGGAAGGGTGGATGGATGGGTGGATAGATAGATAGATATGGATAAATGGATAGAGGGAAGGAAGGAAAGATGTGTGATAGACGATGATCAGCATATTAAGAAAATAAATGAAGACAGTTATATATATATATACCGTTATCATCTCTCATCGTCTCTGAGAGAATATGAACCGTTATGCAGCGTCAGATGTTTTTACTTTCTCTTTCTGCAGTGAATGATGAGTGTGTCCTCAGACTTCCCTCCGCCGTAACTCTAGCGCAGCGCTTGCTCATCCGCCGTCGCCCTCATGGGTCACAACGCAAATACACCCAATATTGTGCAAAAATATTGGATGTATTTAAATGTTAAAATTATTCCTTTATCAAGAATTGCTGCAAAATCATTTAGATTTAGATCTTTACCTGTGATAAAATCAAGTAAATTCTTAAATAAATGAGTAGCTAAATAAACAAGTACGCTTAATTAACGATAATTGAAACACTCGCTCTGCAAAGTACTGCATACATCTGTTTACTGCTGCTTCAGTGGTAGTTCAGTATTATTAATATATCATAGCTTTTATAAATATTTTGAATTAACTGTTATTTTTAACTGTATATTTTAATTTTAGTAATTTTATGTGCTTTTGCTATTTTTATTTTTTATAAATATCTAAATAGATTTATTTCAGTTAGCTTTGAATGCAACATTTCATCTAATATTTCTATTTCATATCAGCTTCATGTGAATAAACAAAAATGTTTTTTAATAAATACATAGTTTTATTTACACAATATTAGAACTGTCGATAACTGCTTCTGATAAGACTCTCTCCTGTGATAGGCTGGACCAGGACACGCCCCAGGCCACGCCCACTTCCTCTTCCTCCGCGCAGGGGGCGGGGTCTCTGTGCTCGCGCACTTACATCACCTTCAGCGACGACGACGCGTTTAGCTCCGCCTTCCCTGAGTCGGCTCGCTCCATCCCGCCGCAGCCCGTTCAGGAGGTGTGTCCCGTTACCCATAATCCCGCGCTGTATCGCGACCCCGTGACCGACATCCCGTACGCCAACGCCAGAGCCTTCCGCATCGTCCGCGAGGCGTACCAGAAGTACATCGCGGCGCACGGCTTTCCCAACGCCTCCGGGAGCTTCGGCGGATCCAGTGACGTCAGCGACTCCCCCGCGGCTGCGAACAAGAGCGGGCGGCCCAAAGCCGTCGTCAAGCAGCCCGTCGCCGCCACCTAGTGGATCGGTGCACTCTGACTCGAGGACGATTCTCCACACGTATGTGACGAGTGTTAGAGACTTCAGCTGAATCACATCAGCGGCTCAAAGATTCGAGTGAGCGACTCGAGTGATTCAGTCGGTTCATGATCCGAAGACTGTCACGCATCACCAGCACCCGCTCGCAGTGCTCTTACTTTCTGACTTCTTGGTTTTTGTATTTTTCTAGGTGTTTAAAAAAATGCAATAAAAGCAGAGAAAAAAATAGTGTTTACCTCTGTTTATTTTGCGATCCAAATATGCACTGCAAAAAAATAAAAAATCGTTTTTTTTTTTTTACTTTTGTCTTGTTTTCCAGAACAAATATCTAAACATCCGAAAATCAAGATACTTTATCACAATTTACTTTCTTTATAGATATTAAGTCTTGTTGAAAATGTATCAAAATTAACTGTTTGTGCTTGAGAATAAAATAGAAAACTGCCAATGGAGTCTGAAAAATTAACTAATTAGATTTTTCTGACCTCACTCTGGCACATATTTACTGTTTAAAGTACAAACTCGTGTCATTTTGAAATGTTTCTTCAAGTCGTGATATTATTAGTTTTCCTTCTCAAAGAAGAGCTGATTTTGGTCACACTTTAGATTAGGGTCCACTTCTCACTATTAACTATGATTTTAACATCAATAAACTCCTAATGACTGCTTATGAACAGTTACTAAGGTAGTTATGTTTAGATTATGGGATGTAGAATATGATCATGCAGAATAAGGCATTAATATGCTAATATAAACAGCCGATATCCTAGTAATATACAGTACATGATAATGAGCAGTGAATTGGACCCTAAACAAAAGTGTTACCAAATTTTTATATATTTTTTAATTTCAAACAAGACATTTTTTTGCAGTGTGTGATTGTAGTAAAAATGCAGAAATCTGTTAGTGAAATTCATTATAAAATTAATTCACACAATAGAATTTCCAGCTAAATTTAAGTCTTGTTTGGCATTTTTTCTTGTACAAACACACAAGTGAAATGGGTTGCAAACATGGTTTACACGAGTGCACTAGTGCTGTAGTTAATCTACATCAGAAAACAAACCCACAAATTGTGCATTCTTAGTATTTGTGATTCTTAAACTATCATCCGGTGTATTGTTGAATAATGACCAGTGTTTCTGAAACTGAAACCACAGTCAGATCTGGTGGACTTCATAGATCTCCTTGAAGCAGAAGAATTACAGGAGGAACAGAACAGCTCATAAAAAAGATCTCAGCGCTAAGAAGCTTTCAAAAGAGCAATATCTGAAACAAAATAAAACAACACTTTATTATTAAACTTCAATCAGATCCACTCAGCTTTGAACTAATACTGTTGCTGTTGAAGAACATACAGAGCAACATGAGAAGAGAAACAGAAGTGGATTATTTCACTGGTACATACAACTGTACAAAAATCCAGTGTTGCTCAAGTTCTCTTTGGTTTTAGTTGTTAAGAACGATGGACGGAAGTCGTGTTAAAATGCAGAAACAAAATCTTGTATTAAAAAAGCGATATTTTTAAAATTTCTTAAACAGATCTGTCTGTCTTCTGTGAAACACAAAAGATGACAAAAGTTGGGATCCAAACTAAATTTCTTTAGCGTTCCACAGAAGAAAGTCATTTTTGGGCGAACTGTCCCTTTAAATCTCCCTTTGACCCGGGGATGAAGCGGATCAGCCAATCAGACGCGAGCGTGTCTCCGTCCCGCGCTCAGAGCTTGCCCTCCTCGATCATGCGGTTCAGGCCGCTGCAGATCTTGCTCAGGTTGCTCCACAGCGTCCCCTGCGGGTCGTACAGGTGTGTGAGCAGTTCCGGATCCGCGTAATGGTTGAACACGTGCCGGATGCGATCCAGAGACTTGGGCGTCAGGTGTTTCTCCACCAGCTTCAGCATTAAATCCCGACAGTCCGTCAGCAGCTCCATCATGACGCTCTTATCGAACGTGTACTCCACCTGGCGGAGACAGAGGCACACACTCATGGTTTTACTAGTGCTTTCAGTCCATTAAAAACTGTAATCGCACATTTTTCAGTAATTAACTCTTTCCCCGCCATTGGGAGAATTCTCCGGCTCTCCGTGTTTCCACTGTTATACGGTAGGGGGTGCTATTACACATCTCCTGAAAAAGTTCAGAATCTCCTGATCAGAACACAGGAGAAGAAGAAGCAGAAACGAGCGATAGAAGCATTGCTGACGCACATGTACATTATAACACGATCATCAACAGTAAACAGCATCAAAACTGCCTAATGTTACTGAATGAAATGTTGAACCGTGAAGAGGAAACGACTGAAGCTTTGAGCTGTTGATGGACTCGAGCGACTCTTTGCTTAAATGCTTTTTGCTTAAAATGTTGCTTTTTTATGAAACTTACCCACATTCAAGTGTTGATAAAAACAGAATGCATGGAGCTAGAATCATTTTTGTTAAAAACAAAATGCTGGCGCTGGTTGACAACTTTTTTTTAACCCTCTGGGGTGCTTCGGCCCAAATGGACCCGAAGCATTTAAATAACTTTTTTTTTTTTAAATCATAGCTTTATCGGAATGGTCCGAAATTTGGTGACTTTGTTGGTACTTGGTATATGAACACCCAAATAAATTGGGGACAGGATTTAAATAGTCTAAGTGGTTGTAAAAAAAATAGTCACACTCAGGACCTTCGGGTCCAAATGGACCCGCATAGGAAATGAATGGGAAATTGGTAAAAATGTGAAAATACAGAGTTTTTTTGTGCGTACAAACTACAAATCAGCCACGATCCAGAAAAAAAGCACACAACAGTGAAGGGGTGAATCTATAAAACATCAAGAGTGCAAAACAGACACATCCACACACACACACACACACACACACACACACACACACACACACACACACAAACACACTTTTATACACATACACACTAATAAATTCAGATTACATATGGGTTTTGAATTTTTAAAATGCTCAGTTTGTCCACCAGATGGCATCCATCTCATTTCAAAAATTGCTTTCATGAGGCCTAGGCTTGACTCTAAAATGAAATACAGCTTAAAAAAAAAAAAAAAATTCTATTATATTCAATGGGGAAAAAATGGGTAATAATTATTGCATTAATATTGATTATAAATCATTTTTATTTTTGAAATTATCTCAAAACACCAAAAAAGAAAAGAAAAAATATTATAAAAAAACAAGTAAAAAAAAAATGATGATTTTTAAAAAATAAATATTAATCCCACCCTTCCGGCCCATTTGGACCCGAAGGTCCTGAGTGTGACTCTGAAATGAAGGACCCCAGAGGTTAAAACGCTGCCGGGGAAATAGTTAATCATGATTAATTTCCCCTAACATAAAAAATGTTATTGTATAATTTCACACTTGAAATGTAGAAACAACAATGATTTGTAGTATGTTGTTTGATTAACATTAATGACAGACAGCAGCAGGTTTATTGGGCCACTGTCACTTTAAGACCCGACGCACATGACCCGGATCCAGATCTGATGTTTTCACAACTCTAGATGCTCTTTAAGCTTTAACTAGTAAGCTAAAAACTCGACAATAACGGGCATTTCTACATAATTTTGTGTTTCTGTCTGTTCAAGCATTGGACCCTTCCAAAAGGGATGAAAATAATAGTTTGGGGGGGTACTGAAAGAAAATGCAATAAGTAGTAATTGTGTAAGCTACACAAATTCGTGTTCACTTCAGTCGTGTTATAATCAGATCCAGCGCGTTCAATCCGCAGCGGCGCCGAGCAGCGCACGTTAGAAACAGAGGACAGGGTGTGTGTGTGTGTGTGTTCATGACATCTGAGCCTCATTGGTCTGTCACTGCTCGTCAATGTCAGAATATTTGAGATGACCAATCAAATCAAAGTAGGCGGGCTTTATGTTCACAGACGCTGAGCGCTAATTTCAGCAGAGCGACTCGACGCTTCAGTGCGAGTAAGATGTAAGTAGCTGAACTAAACATTTCATATTTGACAGGTTTTTTAGGTCATAAATGTTAAACGAATGACAAAAATAATCAGGCAAACTAATAAACTTTTGTCTAATTTCGCCATTTTCAACTGTAAATAGGCCTATGTAACGGGACACATTAAAAAAGCTGTTTTCATCATGTTAGGCACGAGATTAATAATGAATTTGTACATATTGAGAATTAATATAATACAATTTGTAGCCTTCAGTAAATTAAAAAATCTCAGCATTAGGAGGGGAAGAGACAGGGCAAGATGAGGAGACTGAGAGAAAGAAAGGGTGATGGAGGAGAGAGCGGGTGTTGACAGATAATCTACTGCCCGCTAACATGGTTTAAAGCTATTTTTTATTCTTTTTTTTTGGCCTTCAAATGTCTTGAAATGCAAATATCAGAGAAATAAAAAAATTTAACCCCCAAATGGAGAGTGACATCACCAGTCGAAATAGCTGTACCCCCGAAGCTCACGGTATAATGCGAACACTGGAAATCAGGAACGGTGAGAGAACATTTTTCATCTTCAAAACAAACTTGGGTCTCCAGGGGACAACATTTATATCCAATCTTGCTAGCGTGCTTCCCATAATGTTTGCGTATCAGTAGGCGGAGAGAAGACGGTCTTTTAGTGGCTGTTCGAACGCATTCGTCCACATGAGCGTTTACAATACGAAAGCAATGCGTTTCCCACTACCTCTGGAAGTGGACGCAGCGTTTAGACCCGTTTACAGCTCTATTTAACGACGTCTACTTTTGATCCGATCGACCGAAACATAAAATGCAATGCCAGCCAAACGATGCTGCATTAATTGTGTTCAATATGTTAAAATTAAACAAATTAAATATGTTAAAATTAAACAAATTAATTGCAAATCGTTCACACCAAGTACAATATTAGCATCCACATCAACGCACGATATTGTTTATTATAAGCTCGCGCTGCTGTCGCTTTAAAGGCACAATATGTAGGGTTTTTTTCGCCACAAGAGGGCGCAGTTTCCAACAATAACACAGGCGTAGGTTGATGACGCAGTGATGAGCTGAATGATGGGACTTGCTGTCAAGCTGATGGATCTAATAATGTTTATGGATGAGTGCAAACATTCATGTTTTTTAACATTACAGTGGTATGAAGCAGGTCGCGATTGCTAAAGAGACAGATATCACACGCGAATCCTGCGGATATAAAGGAAAAAGGACATTTACTTCTACCGAACTACCCGCGAGTGCTGGATTACTCACACAGGTCAGTTTATTTGACGGATTCAACTTGTGAGGGAACGCAGCGCTGCTTCACTTGGTCTAACGCTACACTATCACACTAAACATTATTTAAATGTGTGTTGAAAGTTATAATGTTAAACTACGTGTTAGTTTGTTTGCTATACGAGACTAGCAGTAAGCTAGATCAAAATTAGAATAACATACTGACCATATTCATCATGTTGAGCTAACGTTATATAACATTGATTTGTTTTATGTACATTTGCTCACCTGTCTAATAAAGCTGTCGTGACTCGTGAAGCTCTGTCGAGTCCAAGTTAGCTCGCTAGCTCTCGGCATCTCAAAAACGCCACGCTGATGTTGATCCTCATTTTAGTTCTCCTTGTTTGTCCCGAAGTCTGCTTGCCATGGTCTATGTTTGAAAGAAACAAGAACTGCGTGCCGCTAAACGCTACGCACTACGCAGTTGTCCACGTCTGTCGCCATGGTTACGTCATGGCTATGGCAGTATGAGCGGAAACCGAGGATAGCGCGGATATTGCGTCATCGACAGGCGACATTTTTTTTCAGGATGGCCACTTATTTAAAATTGGAATTTCTCTGAAATAAAAAATCTTTGGAGACTTTTGGGATATTGTAAGAACACAACTGCAGGAAATATATCACACTGTGCAAGTGATTTTTGGATATTTTATTACAAAATTCGTACATATTGTACCTTTAAATGCTCGAGCTCGTTAAAGTCTGTCGGATTCTGATTGGCTGTCAGTGTTTTTATCGTTCATCTGGGAAAGTGATTACTCTGTGTTGTTATCGTTATAGTTGTGACGTGAACTCTGCTATGTATATAAAACAATATCTTTATTGTTACAGTTATCGCCCTTGGTGTGAACGGACCGCTAGAAAAGAGGGTAATTTTTCACTTTGTTTGTAGATTTCTCCACATATTTCAATTTTTTAAAACATGGCAAAATAAGACTCTTCATTCTTAAAGGCCCGTTCACTCAGAAACATTCTAACTCTGAGATGAATGATAACAACATTGACAGCCAATCAGAATGCATCCTGCATTAAAGAGTTGCTAGGGTGTTCTGTGTGGTTGCTAGGGTGTTCTGTGTGCTTGCTAGGGTGTTCTAAGCAGTCGCTTCCTGTCTGGTGTGAAATGCTGACGCACACGCAGAACTTTAAGAGGTTTCAGCACATCACTAGCAGTAGTAGCACTAGTGATGCTTGACTTAAGAGCACTAATGAACCATAATTCACGGATAATCACGCAAACATTATGAATATGTGAATGCTGCACCTCCTGGAAGCTGATGGCCGTCATGGCTCCGTGATGCAGCTTCTTCCTGAAGTCCTGCGCCAGACTCAGCTCATCCGCGCTGAACTTCTCGTGTCGGAACAGAACTCCCACCTTCACGGCGATCTTGATCATGTTCTTCACCACCTTCTGGGCCTCGGCGCGGTTCCCCGAGTGCTCTTTGGAGACGCGGTACAGCTCGTCCAGAACCTCGCTGCTGTTGTCGTCGATGAACATGTGAGCCATGGACTTGCTGGCCATGTGACTGAGGATCTTCTTCTGGGCCTTCATGGCCATGTCCTTGGAGCTGAACGCCTCCATCCCGCACCAGAGGACGGAGGGACGCAGACATGCAGTGTGTGTTTACCTGCGTCGGCAGTCGGAGGAGTGTGTGTGTCGAGTCTGTGTGAGGAAGTGGTGTCTTCCGCTGTGTAACTGTGAGAGGAAACTGTGTGATCGGAGGAGATATGTCACTTCTGCTTTCTGTCTCTCTCACACACTTAAACGCTGAGTTTCAAACTCTTGAGAGACGTTTCGTATCGTTCAGAGCATCGAAAGTGTGACTGTAAGAACACAAACTAACCTGAAGCGTCACCTCTAAACTTCACAAGCACAAACACACACGAGGCAGAGAGAAATCACACCAGATCTCTCTGATATCTGTTTCTTCACAACAGCAATGAGTTTAAAACAGAAAGTTTTCAACAGTTGTGTCTCCTCTAGAGCAGGGGTTTAGAAACTAAGGGCCCTCAGGGGCCGCAAGAGAGTGCTGGGGGTCTGGGGAAACTCTGGGGGGAAACGGTGTAAAAAATGTAAAGGAAAAAAAAAGATTTAACTAACTAAATAAAAAAAGGATTAAAATAAATTCAAATTGATTTAAATAAATAAATTAATACATTTTATTAAAATAGAAAATGTTTTACATACATTTTATGTTATTTATTTATGTATATATTTTATGTAAATATAAAATAAATAAATAAAATATTTATTTTGTATCAATTTATTTTAATTGAATATAATTTAAATCAAATTAAATTAATATAAAAAAATAAAAAAATATTATTTAAAATATAGAATTTGCTTTAAATTAATAATAAATCTTACAGTACAGTACAGAAAAGATGCAATGATTTAACGTAATAGGAACTTAATAAATAAAACATAATTAAAATAAAAAAGATTAAAATAAATACATACCAATTCATTTAAATAAATAGCTAATTAATAAATGTAATTAAAAAATTATACTATTAATGATACATTGATTGTAAATAAACAACAAATTATTAAAATAAATCAAATGTGATTATAATAACTTTGATTTAAAATGTATTGAATAAAAATTATTTAAATAAATAATAAAACTTTAATTAAAAAAGTTATACATTTATGTAAATAAATAAACAAAAACATTTTAAATAAATAAAACCTGATTATAATAAATAACTGATTAAAACGTTGATTAAATAAAAATGATAATAATTTGATTGAAATAAAAAGATAAATAACACTTGATGTAAATAAATAATAGATTAATAAATTTGACTAAAATACTTTTATTAAATATTATTTACATGAATAACACATCTAAGATTACAGTAAAAGAATGCAATGATGTGTAACATAATAGAAACTAAATCATTTCCAAAATATATTATTCACATTAATTTGGTTTTTATACATGAAAATATATAGTTTCTGCAGGAGGATGATCATATTTGGGGTAGAGCTTAGATCGGGCCCAAAAAATCAAGCTCGACTCTCCCCGAGCCTGTGCACGTTGTGTCCGAGCCCGGCCCGGCCCGACACATTAACTGTAATTATGAGCCCGAACCCGATTTAAACCCGACCATTTTTTAATACGTGGGCTGTTATAACTGACGTTCTCAACTACAATTCTGAGTCGTTTGAACTACAGAAATCTTTTTAGAATTATCTTAATGAATAATGCAACAAGAACGAAGCATGTAAACTGCGTTGTTTGTTTATTCAGAATGGAATCGATTGCAAATGGATCCGAATGAAGAAACTTTAAAAAAAAACACAGTTAATGCACTCGACAAAGCCAACACGTATGTTGTCACTGCCCACGACTTGTTTAAAATGGTTCCAAACAACAGACTTTCTTCCAAACTTGCTCAAAGTTAATTCACCTGTTTTTCTTTTTTTTCCTTTACATCTTCAAGCTCCATGTTGCACTTAAGCGACACAATACAGCACAGCAGGCCTGGAGGAGACGCTGCGCATGACACTTGACGTGTTGCATTTTGTAACTTTGTAGCCTAACTTGTGCAACTTTGAACAAATTTGTTACTTAGCCTTACTTTGCTAAAAATATATATAATATTTCTGATCATAGCTTTCTACCCACCCAATTAGGCTGGGTGTATGTAATGGTAATGATTTAAAAAACACAAATGCTTGATCAAGGAATAGTGGTGGGAAATGTCTCTGGTGGAATCTAATCTCTAATTTGGGGCTCCGTGGATCTGAAAGATTGAAAAGTGATCTAGAGTTTCAGAAGAGATCTCAACTCTATTATTTATAAAGCACATTTGACCCCACTACTCTAACTGAAAAAGCTTTTTGCCCAAAGGCTGTAAATTGTAAATTGTTAAAGCTGTTTTTAAACATTCAGATTTTGATTTTGCATCTAAATCACCATGAATGATGACCCTTGACCCTTATCTATAATCCTGTATGACTGTCCTCTTTCTGTCATTGGCTCAGTTTTATTTATGATAAAGATATTATTAGATAAATATAAACCTTTATCTTCTATTGCAATTAACATTCTCTCAAAAGACAATGATAAAAGTAAAATATTGAATTGTTTTGAAATAAAAAGAAATTTGAAGATACTTGTTACTGTAAACTATTATAAAAAATGAATCAAACTCTTATTAAAACATGTTTATAGTGTGTAATTCACCATTACAAGGAAAGCAAACTAAGAAGAAACAAAATTAACTTTCAATTAAAATATGAACAGTTTTAGTAATCACTACTCACTCAAGCATCTTTAGTTTATATTGTGGATCCTCCTGCAGATCAGAGAGCAGCTTCACTCCTGACGCTTCTAGTTTATTTCCAGACAGATCCAGTTCTCTCAGGTGTGAGGGGTTTGATCTCAGAGCTGAAGTCAGAGCAGCACAACCTTCATCTGTAACACCACAATTACTCAACCTATAGAGAACAATGACACTCTTCAGTCTCTCAGTTCAGGATCTACAGCTCAGATAAGCAGGAACTTCACAATCAGCAGTGGTGGAGCAAGTACTGAATCTCAGTACTTAAGTAAAAGTACAAATAACCAGAGACATATTTACTTTAGTAAAAGTAGAAGTACCACAATGACAACCCTACTTAAGTAAAAAGTACCTGATTTCAAATGTACTTTAAGTATTAAAAGTAAAAGTACTTGCATAACAATTTATTCTATTAATGTCTATATTCTAATGATTAATAAAACAGTTAATTCTAACTCATTCAACCTAATACTTATATATAACATATAATAATGATGTTCAATATGATGGAAAAGCAGTTATATTTTAAGTTTTTGTCACCATTTCTGAACAAGCTTGCAATTAGGCAATATACACATCAAGCTTACTATATACCATTACTATATACGGTATATATATATATATATATATATATATATATATATAAATATATAAACACACATATTATGTTAAAACGCCGTATATGACGGCGTTTGGCTGTAAACACGATTCATTTATGGCATAATTCTGAACCTCTTGGCTTGCCATACTAATCCTAACCAAACGTATAATACGCACCCCACATCACTACTAAACCTACCAATGCGTTTCCTATACATGTAAAAACAAATTACATTTGTTAAAAATTGCGTATAAATTGCACGATAAACACACTGCGTGCTATAGAGACGCATTTACTGTGACCGGGTTGATATATCTAAGGCAACCAAACTTCACTGGAGAGACAGAAACGTGCGATGAACGGACGGTCAGGATGACGTTTTGGCAGGGAAAAACTGATCAGAAAATTTAACGAAAATGTAACAGAACGTTGTAGAAATGTAGTGGAGTAGAAAGTATAATAATTGCTGCAAAATGTAACGAAGTAAAAGTAAAAAGTATGAACTATTGATTCTACTTAAGTAAATTTTTCACGTATCTGTACTTTACTTAAGTAAAGTAACGAAGTATTTGTACTTCGTTACATTCCACCACTGACAATCAGACACTTAATCCATGGCACCATTAACAGGTCCAGTCTAAGGTTCAGACCCGCTTCTACAAACTGCTTGAGCGGGGTAGTTTCCATATCATAAAAATTGCAAGAATAATAATTTTTTATGCAAGTGTAGTGGGGTTTTTGATATGTGTAAAATAAAAATCAGTAAATGAGTGGCCAACGAGCTATCGCCCCGCTACAGTATATAAGCATGTTTTTTATGGCTCTTGGGGTGCGTCATGGTTCAAAGCCCGACCCTTCTTTTCGTGGCTTGGTACTATGGAGGTATGTGTTTTTAGCTGTGTAGCTTACTGTTTGATCTCAGTGTTATTTAGTGACATAATGCAATTTTACCTGTTTAGTGTGATATTACCAAGGCTGGCGATGTGTGATGCGCTGTTGGGTCTCGGTGTGTGTGCCTTCAGGGCCTCCATCTGTGTGGCACCACATTGTAACATAGCCCAGTCGGAGCTATTGCTGTTATATAGTCACTAAAGAAGCTACTCTATGATCTCTGTATGTGCTGTTGTAGGTATTACGTCATCGGATCACGGCAGGTATATTGTTTGTGCGCTAAATAACCTTGTATGCCTTTTAAATTGAGATTTTAATAGATGTTTGTTGTAATTTAAGGTCCTCTGCATGCGTTAGAGCAGGTAGAGTTAGAAAAGTCTCCTTAACACAGCTCTCATTTGTGTTTGCTTTTAAGTTGGTCCCTCACATGCATTCTCTTTTCGATCACCGTTATGTTTAGTTGTGCTAATGCCTGTCTGCCTAGTCTTGGATTACTTGTTATTAAACTACGTTTGAACTATATTTATCTGTCTTCGTCTTCCTGCCTGCATATGCCTGTGATACATTAGTAATTTCACAGTAGATTTTTTTATGGCTATCATTATTTACCATTAAAATAGAAGACTATGTTGGGACATTTTATACAGTCTTACCCGAGTATCTCCAGTTTACAGTGAGGATCCTTCAGTAGATCAGAAAGCTGCTTGACTCCAGAATCTCCTACTTTATTCACAGACAGATCCAGTTTTCTCAGGTGTGAGGGGTTTGATCTCAGAGCTGAAGCCAGATCAGCACAACCTTCATCTGTGACACCACCATACCTCAACCTGTAGAGAACAATGACACTCTTCAGTCTCTCAGTTCAGGATCTATAGCTCAGATAAGCAGAAACTTCACAATTAGACACTTAATCCACGACACCATGACAGGTCCAGTCTAAGGTTCAGACCCGCTTCAACAAACTGCTTGAGCGAGTTAGTTTCCATATCATAAAAATGGCAAGAGTAGTCGATAACACTTTATTTAACAGTGTCCTTGTAACATATGTTACATGTATCTATCATAGTAATAACAGCAAATTATGCATAATTACATGCAACAAACCCTCTACCGAATCCTAATCCTACCCTAACCCTATAGTAAGTACATGTAGTGCTTAATGTTACTTAGTACTTAAACATATAATTACACTGTAACAATAACACTTTAAAATAGAGTGCAACTAAATATTCAGTTTTATGCAAGTACCCAAAAATCATCAACATATCTGTATATATACACAGTTGTCACATCTTTACATCATTAATATTGTAAAATGATGTCAGACACATTGGAAATAATCTAATTAAAATAAAAGCATCAGTCCCATTATGTCCCATTATGGTCAGTCTAGTTTTCATTATCATGGACATTTAGTTTGTCTTCATGTTCATCATGTGTTCCTGTGTTCAGTTCCCTTTCGAGGGAATTCATGATTCGTCAATGACGCTTTGGGAACGCCCCTGCGTGCCCCTGCATCTGAAGCACATGTGTCAACTAGTCCAATGGCTAGAGTGAACGTCACGAGCGGGTATTGTCATGACCAGGAATTACTTCAGGATTACTTCTGTGCCTCAGTAATCGCTCTGTGAAACGGCCTTTCACAAAATCATACAGCTCAATTAGATATATATAATGACGTCCAAACAATCGTACAAGTTGTATGCTTCTCCTTGCTCTCGTTATATCACGGGTGGGGATTCACACAAACTTTGTGTGTTATGTTTGGAAGCGGAGCATGCTCTGTCAGCCTTCGAGGGGGCTGATAGTGAGCATTGTGAGAGGCTGCCGCTTTGCAAGCTCCGCTCTCGCTTGTCACTCTTCGAGGAGAGTGTTCAAGTGAGCGTTCCCTGCGGCTCGGGCCCCGCTGCTGACGAGGCAGCACAGAAGCTCTTGACGTGGGGATCGCAAATGGATCTTACGGCGGGGTTTGAGACGGGCCCCGTCCTTTCTCAGCCTTTACCCGTGAGATCCAGTGTTCTCTCCCCGGAGTCGGAAGCCCGCCCTACGGTTCCTTCCGCTCCGGAAGAGGCACCTGTGCTTCAGCTGTCTAGTTCTGAGGAACTAGATGTGCTGAGCATCGAAATGAGGGAAGAAGAAACGCCAGCTTCTTCCCCAGCGTATGAGGAGCTGGTGGAGGTATTGTCTTGTGCTGTGTCTAAATCAAATATTGAATTGCCAGTCGAGAAACAAGGCGCTCGTCCCAGAAGTCTATTAGACGAGCGCTTTCTGTCATCAAGTGCAGTACCTCCACCAAGGGGACTTCCTTTTTTCCAAGACCTGCATAAAGAACTAACAAAGTCGTGGAATAAACCATATATATCCATAGATTTTAGCCCTTAAGTCCACGTATACTCTGATATAAGGGGGCTAAAAGAATATGGTTATGGGACGATGCCGAAAGTAGAGCAGCCGCTCGCCAGTTATTTGTCACCAGCATCAGCATTGACGCTGAAGTCCCCAATGCTGCCCACTAAACAATTAAAAACATCTTCTATGTTAGTGGGTAAAGCATATACGGCAGGTCAGGCTGGTGCATGCCTTCACACTATGGCCATATTACAGGCATACCAGGCTGATCTGCTGAGGGACCTGGAGACTAGCGAGGGGGCGGGGCCTGACGTGGTTCGAGAACTAGGTCAGTCCACCGATCAGTCTCTCCGAGCCAGGAGAGAGACCACTTGTGCTATTGGGCGGTCTCTGGCAGCTAATGTGGCATCGGAGAGGCATCTGTGGTTAAATCTATCAGATATAAAGGATAAAGATAAATATTTTCTGCTGGACACCCCTCTATCGCCTTCTGGCCTCTTCGGTGACGCAGTAAACACCATTGTCGAGAGGTTTCAGGAGGCTAAAAAGTAGGCAGAGGCGTTCAAGCGGTATCTCCCTTGCTGTCAACAGGCCCCTGGGGCATGAGCAGCCCCAGCCGTTCAGCTCTTCATACCAAGCGCAACAGAAAGAGAGTGTCCATGGGGTACGGGACACTACCCTCAGCCGAAGCCTTCCAAGCCGCAGACCAATCTGAGGGACGTTCTGTTCGCGAAGAAGGCTTCGGCAAAGAAGAGGTCCTGTCACTCGTGGCGTCAGACTTCTGAGGGCAGCCCCCTCCGGAGTGGAACGTGTTAACCTCATTACACATAGTTTATACAAACTTACCACAGTATCTCCAGTTTACAGTGAGGATCCTGCAGTAGTTCAGAAAGCTGCTTGACTCCAACATCTCCTACTTTATTCCATGACAGATTCAGTTTTCTCAGGTGTGAGGGGTTTGATCTCAGAGCTGAAGTCAGAGCAGCACAACCTTCACCTGTAACACCACAATAACTCAACCTGTAGAGAACAATGACATCATTCAGGATCCATAGGCGGAAATCGCGGGGGGGTCGGGGGGGTCAGGACCCCCCCTATCTGAGGGTTGTCCCCCCTAAAATATCATTAAAATATGTGTGTTGTAAATAAAATAATGATATATTCTTAAAATAATTTTTTAAGAAATAAAATAATACAAATGCAAACGGGGCAACAACAAAAAAACGTTTTAAACATTTTGAGTCCCCCCTCCCTTGCCTCACAGTGCTTTGGTCCACTGCCTACGCCCCTTTTACCTCACCACCGAGCAGTGGCCGACACACACACATTCCGGTGGCGGGATAGATGAACTATGTTTTTGAGTAGTTGTGGAACTCCAGTAAGTCAATGTTATTTTATTCCCTTTAAACATCGGATGAAGTGATTATTTTCTCTTTAATATAGATGATGCTGAGTCATTAATAAATCATGTAAAAAACAAATATATGATTGTGTACTAATGTACTTTTGTCACTGATGTAGTCTGCTATGTTAGCGATTATAACGTTTAACGTTTACCTAGCTTGTTTAATACAGTAACGTTATATCCCCCCACCATACCTGTCAAGTTTTGGATTTGAAAATAAGGGAAATTTTCCGGCGCCCACCACGAGCAGTCCCACCACCCCAACCAAGCTACAGTATCCCTTACATTTTAAGACAGGTGTTATAGCCTAAATGAAAACACACACACACACACACACACATATATATATATATATATGTATGGTAGGCCTATATATATGTATGGTATAGCCTGTATAGGGTATACATTAAGAGCATTATTTAAAGGCTTATTTGCATATTTTCTGTTCATTTAACATTGCTTGTCTTTACATTTACATTTTATTTTCATTCCACACATTATTTTCATTTCATATTGCTTTTCTTTTACAGTTTTTCTTTACATTTGCAGTTTTTCTTATCATTTCACATAACTTTTCTTTACTCTTTTAGTGAGTTATTGAACAAATTTGTTGCAGACTTTGTAATTAACTGTTTTGGAAGGAGTGTATTTGTGGGCTGGACCAGAGTGGTTAATTTTACATGAGAGTAGAGCAAACAGTTCTGTTGTCTAACGTCATCCTATTCTCTGTAACAATCTTTCGTACCATGCTAAACACCCTTTCTCGTGCTGACATACATCATTCCTTCCTCGTGTGAGATGCTAAAGTCGCAGTTACAAAACTTACAAAACGCGTGACTGTCTCCTACCCTGCTCCTCTTCAGAAAAGTAAATACGCTATCCCATTGATCGATCGCGGTATTTAGTACATGAGCGTTTTTTTTTTTTTTGGCTGGAGTGCCTTGCTCTGTCATAGCGTCCATCATCCAACTCTGTTTTTGTTTGTTTTTTGTTTCCCCCGCGTTGTCACTCATCATCTGACCTCACACACTAACCTCGCGACAACTGCCACCTACAGTACCTATGGTTATCCAGTCCCTCCAGAAAAACGCGATTATTCGATCGCTGAATTCAATGCAAAATCAGCCAAAGTCCGCATATTTATGCGGGGGTCGCATTTTTTCAAATACTCCGCAATTTCGCCGCATAAATTGCTGATTTCCGCGCAAAATATGCGGGGCCTGCATGATTTCATAATCCCCACATTTTCGTCGCAAAAAAGTCACATATATCTTAGCAGAAAGTTGGAAAATGTTGCGTTTGCTTCACACAAAACCAGCCGTTTCCCCCTCTTGCCATGGGAACGTTATGAAGTGAAGTAATTACGCGACGTGAACATCATTGAAAAGCTGCACACTTTATTTTTAAATATTTCATTTATTCATTTTTACTGAAGTTGTAGCATATTCCTCTAGTAAAGGTACAGAACTTGTTTGACTCATCAATGTTTTGTAAGTTTGATGTGTTTATTAAGGTCTTGTAACGCGTTGTGTCGGGAAGAAAAATAGGGATAGCTCACAGCTGAAGTTATTGCAGAGGCCAGACAGACTCACGGAGCCGATTGGCATCTCACAACTCGCACTTTATTCCCAAATCGAACTCGTAACTGTCTGTCACACGTTCTACCGTCCACGTCGTTACTTAATAAACAAAAGATAAAAGAAGTAGCATCAAACAGAAATTACCCGCACACATGGGGTGTTCGAGGCGCATGGCACATACAATATAATGCAGACAGTTAGACAGGGAGCGCAGCTCTTAAAGGGGCCACACCTTATTTCCACTCGATACAGTCTGAAATAAAACAAGATGAGAAATTAAATATTTCCAGAACTTTCTGTGATGTAGTATGTTTGCTTATCATAGGAAGTAATAAGAAAGGACTCTTTACATTAAGGTAGTAGCCTAGTGAGAACAGGGTGTTGGGGGAATCACTTTTTTCCCTCTTTTTCATCAAACCGCAGTTTTTGCAAGTTTCCGCAATTTTTGCAAGTTCCCGCAATTTTTGCAAGTTCCCGCAATTTCATCGCAAAAAATTGCATAAATATCCCGCATATTCCATCGCATTTTTAAAGAAAACGGGCCGCGTAATCAAGGATTTTTGCCCGCAAAAATCACAAAAAAACTCCGCGTTTTTCTGGAAGGACTGGTTATTGCGAGGCTAGTGACAGAGCTCAGATTGGGAATGGTTTTTTTTTTTACTCCGCCCGGGGTATTATTATTTTTCAATAACGCAGGTTAAAATACGGGAGATTTACGGGAAAATCCTAATACGGGAGGACGGCGGGAAAGAATGGTAAAATACGGGACTTTCCCGGCCAAAACGGGACACTTGACAGGTATGCCCCCCACACACACCCACCCATAGAGTGTACGCATACACTACGTGATGTAACGTTAGTCTTGTAGATTAGTCCGGGTGCGAATTTAGATTTTAAGGTTTTCACTGTGATTTAGTCGGTTTATATAATTTAATTAGTGTGGTGCCTGAATGCGTTCATTGAATGATAGTTCATGAACTCGTTCATATTTTGGGCGAACGTGAACTGAACGTGCAGTAGCCTATTACTGCCTGATGAACGTTACAGTGAACGCGTTCATTCTGGTGTCTGTGAACGCACGCTCTCTCAGTTTAACTTCGTTCAATAGGGTGCCAGATTTCTATAGAGCCTTCCAGGCGAAAACCCGGCTAAAAATTCTTCAAAACCATAATTTTCTTTTGTAAATAAGTTGTTTACACAAAACAACTTATTTACAAAAAAAATTATGGTTTTGAAGATTTTTTTTTTGGTCAATTTAGTCAGCTTTTTCATTAAACCAGAAAGAAACTTTGAGAAGAAGGATAATGATCTCCATGCTACACTAGCCTAATAATAGTAGTAAGGCTTTCCTCGGTGTACACATATCCTTCCAACTAATTTTGCCTGTATTATTGGTGTCCCCTTCAAAAATTGCTCTTGAGAATTGGTATGTTTATTGTCCCCCCCAACATTTTGATGAAATTTTCGCCCCTGTCAGGATCTACAGCTCAGATAAGCAGAAACAGAAAGAGAGACTTAATCCACAGCACCATTAACAGGTCCAGTCTGATTTAAGCATGATCTTTTATGAAGTATGAGGTATTTATATTTTCTCCTAGCACCGCATCATGACCGCTGACTGTGTATGAAACCTTATACACATTTATAATCGACCCGCTCGACAGTGTACATATGAAACGACAGTTTGGAGAAAGAATCTTATAACCAACAGAATGTAGAAGTGAGACAGAAGTTTGGAGGACTTACACAGGTTTAGTTTCTGTCAAAAATTGTCAAAATTTAAAGATAGTTTTGGAAGGATGCGGATGCATCTATATTGAAGATGACTAATAAAAAAATAGTTTCTAATGTATTTTTTTATTAAAAACAAAAAAACCCAGAAAGGTTTTATACAGATAAATAATAAATATAATAGGATTAAAGATAAAACATATTTAAAGTGCAATTTATAGTACAGTTAATAATTTTACTGGGAAAACACGCTACCATATGCACAAGGACAAATGGGCTCTTTGTAAACCATAATTTTATACCCTCCTAAATCATTAATTTGTACATGCACAGCGTAATTATTTATATTTTATGTTGGAATTCTGAACAGACTGCAGACCTCTTTGCGTGATCACGAAGCGGAATTTATAAGCAAGATAAGTGACAAATGAAAAATAATTTATTACAACCCGGTATTACAACCGGAAAAGTTGAATTCATTTTTTTTTTTTTTTATATAAAATCAAAACTAAAAGACTTTCAAATCACATGAGCCAATATTTGTTTCACAATAGAACATAGGTAACGTAACAAATGTTTAAACTGAGAAATTCTACACTTTTATCCACTAAATGAGCTCATTTCAAATTTGATGCTACAGGTCTCAAAAAAGTTGGCACGGGGCAACAAATGGCTGAAAAAGCAAGAAATTTTGAAAGGATTTAGCTTGGAGAACATCTAGCAACAAATTAAATTAATTTATATCAGGTCTGTAAAATGATTAGCTATAAAAGGGATGTCTTAGAGAGGCAGAGTCTCTCAGAAGTAAAGATGGGCAGAGGCTCTCCAATCTGTGAAAGAGTGCGTAAAAAGATTGTGTAATACTTTAAAGGATAACTACACTTTTTTGGAATTATTTCCAAATCCCATAGAGTTAAACAGTTGAGTTTTACCGTTTTCGAATCCATTCAGCCAACTCCGGGTCTGGCGGTAGCATTATTAGCATAGCTTAGCATAGATCATTGAATCTGATTAGACCGTTAGCATCTCTCTCAAAGAAATGACCAAAGAGTTTAAATATTTTAAACCAAAGAGAAGAGGCAAGTTTTAAATAGGAAAAATATCGAAACTCTTTGGTAATTTTTTTGAGAGAGATGCTAACGGTCTTATCGGATTCAATGATCTATGCTAAGCTATGCTAAAAGTTCTACCGCCAGACCCGGAGATCTGCTAAGTGGATTAAAAAACGGTTAAACGCTGGGGGAGTTGGAAAATTAGCCTATTTCCCAAAAAAGTGGAGTGTTCCTTTAAAAACAATGTTCCTCAATGTCAGATTTCAAAGGCTTTGCAAATCTCATCATCTACAGTCCATAACATCATCAAAAGATTCCGAGAAACTGGAGAAATCTCTGTGCGTAAGGGACAAGGCCGAAGACCTTTATTGGATGCCGTCTTCGGGTCCTCAGAAGACACTGCATCACTCATAGGCATGATAGTGTCAATGACATTACTAAATGGGCCCAGGAATACTTCCAAAGACACCTAACCCCAGCTGCTCCCGACGAGCTGGATGGCGCCTTGCATGGCTGCCGTCGCCCGTCGGTGTGTGAATGAGTGAGTGAATGGGTGAATGTGAGGCAAATTGTAAAGCGCTTTGGTGGCCATTGGGTCTGTGAAAGCACTATATAAATGCAGTCCATTTACCAAAACCACTGCCGGTAAACGCAATCTACCATGCCATCTGCAGATGCCAGCTAAAGCTCTATCATGCAAATAGGAAGCCATATGTGAACATGGTCCAGAAGCGCCGTTGTGTCCTGTGGACCAAGGCTAATTTAAAATGGACTATTTCAAAGTGGAAAAGTGTTCTATGGTCAGAAGAGTCCAAATTTGACATTCTTGTTGAAAATCATGGACGAGCGTTCAGTTCAAAAGCAAGCATCTCTGATGGTATGGGGTGCGTAAGTGATACGGTATGGGCAGCTTGCATGTTTTGGAAGGCACTATGAATCATGAAAGGTATATAAAGGTTTTAGAGCAACATATGCTCCCCTCCAGACGACGTCTATTTCAGGGAAGGCCCTGTGTATTTCAGCAGGACAATGCAAAACCACATACTGCAGCTATTACAACAGCATGGCTTCGCGGTAGAAGAGTCCGGGTGGTGAATTGGCCTGATCTTTCACCTATAGAGAACATTTGGTGCATCATTAAATGAAAAATACGTCAAAGAAGACCACGAACTCTTCAGCAGCTCGAAACCTATATAAGGCAAGAATGGGAACAAATTCCAAGACCAAAACTTCAGACACTCATAACCTCGATGCCCAGACGTCTTCAAACTGTTTTGAAAAAAAGAGATGTTACACCATGGTAAACATGCCCCCGTGCCAACTTTTTTGAGAATCAAATTTGAAATGAGCTCATTTTGTGCATAAAATTGTAAAATTTCCCAATTTAAACATTTGTTATGTTATCTATGTTCTTTTGTGAATAAAATATTGGCTCATGTGATTTGAAAGTCTTTTAGTTTTCATTTTATTCAAATTTAAAAAAGGTCCCAACTTTTCCGGAATTCGGGTTGTGGATGCATGCCGGTCATTACATTGACATTATACTGTCATGCCCCTAAACATGACGCGGAACAAAACTAACTGTGATTGGTTGCGTTACATGTCAGTCGAACGTCCTCTTGGGCGATCCATGGCCAAGAAAAGCTGCGATAGAGTCCAGACCTTCTGCAGTTAATCTGAAGTCTCTACGCGAAACTAAGTTCTGAACAGGATAAGTACATTTTTTCCCAGAGGTGGACAAAATATGCATATTCCCAAAGATTGGCTTTTTAAAAGTTTTTATGATCACTTTTACTCATATGCTATGGAAAAGATGGAGGAGTACAGTTATTGATAATAATAATAATAAATGTTTCTTGAGCATCAAATCATCAAATAAGGAAGATTTCTGAAAGATCATGTGACACTGAAGACTGGAGTGCTGAAAATTCTGCTTTGATCACAGGAATAAATTACAGTTTACTACATTCACAAAGAAAACAGCTGTTTTAAATTGTAATATGTTACGTCCAAAGCCGTAAGGTTTTGTTTGTGGGTGCCCAAGCTGTGCTGTTTTTTTTCTCTCTCTCCCTGTCTCTCTTTGTAGGTGAATGGTTTCCACCTGAGGATGCTGGGAGGGGAAGGACACTATTTAAACTACAACCATCATCAGAGCTGTGTTGGTGGCTTGGTTGTGTGCAGCGGTTTTGAGGTCCTATCTCCAACCCCAGACCTGATGTGTTGTTGGAACAAGTTGAGAGTGTTGTGTATCTCTAACATATTTTGGTGTTCTACTTATTGTAGTAGATTTCTCTCGGTCGTCCCTTTTTGACCACTCTATGGTTGAGATTCACAAAGGTAGAAGTGTTCATTTTCATGATTAAATGTATCGTTTAATTAATCTGTTTTGTCTCTTACTTGCAATTTGCAAGTTAATGATTTCTTTATTTATTTTGGGGTTAGTAGGGAGGTGGGTGCCATTTATTTTGACTTTGACTTTTTCTCCTGTTTATGCTAGCATGGGAGTTAGCTTAGTACAACAACAGTCAAACAACAGTTGTTTGTTAGTAAAACAACAGTCTCGACCAGTCGAACCATGAACGCCGAGCCAAGTGCGCTGGTGAGATGCGAACGAGCCAGAACTTGGCTCGGCGTTCATGATTCGACTGGTCGAGACTGTTTTCCAAAGATAGCTCCTGCCTGTATACGCGAATTGGACTGTCTTTATAAAATATCTTCTTATTAAACTGTCTGTACACTTACAATGTTCTCAATGCTTCAGTTTACAGGTAGGGACCCTGATTATGCTACCTTGTTAGTGTTGGGCTATTTTTACCCTTGTTAGTGGTATTAACTAGCGATTTTTATTTTCATTTCTCTATGCCCCATATACTAGCGTTATAAGCTAAACAGTTTTTAGAGATAAAACTCTTTGTATTCGATAATCATGAAAACAAATCTCAGAGAACGGTTGACTATGTACAAATGTGTAATTAGACCAAAGGTTCATTTTGCGCCGGAGTTGTCCTTTAAACTTCATTTTCAGTTACTTGACGGTAAACTTATTTTGTATATATTATTTTTGTATATCTTTCATTATTCAACACAGGAGAAAAACAGATGACGTTGAGGCTTTTATAAAGTCTTACCACAGTATTTCCAGTTTACAGTGAGGATCCTTCAGTAGATCAGAAAGCTGCTTGACTACAGAATCTCCTACTTTATTCAATGACAGATTCAGTTCTCTCAGGTGTGAGGGGTTTGATCTCAGAGCTGAAGTCAGAGCAGCACAACCTTCATCTGTAACACCACAATCCCTCAACCTGTAGAGAACAATGACACTCTTCAGTCTCTCAGTTCAGGAAACACTGATATAAATGATATGATATATATAAATTTCTCCTTTTACAGTATTGCTTAGCTACGAAAGCACATGCTAAACTCATAAATGTGATCATGTTTTATCAGTGTAATGATTGTTGTCAGTGTGACTTACTGAACTGATCTGGATTCTTTAACCACTGGTAGCAGCTTCTGAAGAACTTCATCTGCTGTATTTTGTGCTCCAATAAAGTGTTTTAGATTAAAAACATCCATCTTCTGCTCTGATGTCAGCAACACATATACCAGAGCTGACCACTGTGAAGAGGAGAGTTTGGTTTTTCCTATTTTTCCAGATTTCAGATAATCTTGGATCTCCTGCTTCAGTGAATCCTCACCCAGTTCATTCAGACAGTGGAACAGATTGATGGATCTCTCTGGAGAGCGATTCTCCCTGATCTTCTGTTTGATGAGCTGAACTGTTTCCTCTTTGTTGTAGGAGCAGCTTCCAGTCTGTGTCAGTAGTTTTCGTAAGAGAGTCTGATTGGACTCCAATGAGAGACCCAGAAGGAAACGCAGGAAGAGGTCTAGATGTCCATTCTTACTCTGTAAAGCCTCATCCACAGCTCTCTGATGCAGACCTGGTAATGGATTAAATGACACCCAAGAAAGGTCTTTCATGATATTTATGCAGTTGTTTGTTAAGGAGCAGTGCACAAAAACAGCTGATAGATGTTCCTGGATACTCAGATGAACAAAGCAGAAGACTTTCCCCTGACACAAGCCCAACTCCTCTCTGAAGATCTGAGTGCACAGTCCTGAGTACACTGATGCTTCTGTCACATCAATGCCACACTCTCTCAGGTCTTCCTCATAGAAGATCAGGTTTCCTTTCACAAGCTGCTGGAAAGCCAGTTTCCCCAGTTTGAGAACCATGTCTTCATCTTTCACTCTCTTCTCATAGTCCTTCTCATGTTTGATGTTGGTCTGAATGATCAGGAAGTGTGTGTACATTTGAGTGAGAGTCTTGGGAATCTCTCCTCTCTCAGTTTCACTCAACATCTCTTCTAGAACAGCGGCTGAGATCCAGCAGAACACTGGGATGTGGCACATGATGTGGAGGCTCCTTGAGGACTTCAGGTGTGTGATGATTGTATTGGCCAGACTCTGATCACTGATTCTCTTCCTGAAGTATTCCTCCTTCTGTGGCTCATTGAAGCCTCGTACCTCTGTCACTCGATGAACACACTCAGAGGGGACGAGATCCGCTGCTGCTGGTCTGGAGGTGATCCAGATGAGAGACGAGGGAAGCAGATTCCCCACAATGAGGTTCATCAGCAGCTCGTCCACTGAGGCTGATTCAGATATATTACACAGTTTCACTTTGCTCTTAAAGTTCAGAGACAGACGAGACTCATCCAGACCATCAAAGATGAACAACACTTTATATTTATCACTGGATATTTCCATTTCTTTAGCTTCCGGGAAAAAGAAATGAAGAAGATCTGAAAGACTGAGTGTTTTGTCCTTCATCAAGTTGATCTCTCTGAAAGGAAGTGGAAATATGAGCTGGACGTCCTGATTCTCTTTCTCTTCAGCCCAGTCCACAATGAACTTCTGCACAGAGACTGTTTTCCCAATGCCAGCGACTCCCTTTGTCAGCACAGTTCTGATGGGTTTGTCTTGTCCAGGTAAAGGTCTAAAGATGTCACTGCATTTGATCGGTGTGTCCTCTGTTGCTGCTCTCCTGGATTGTGTCTCAATCTGTCTCACCTCATGCTCATTATTGATCTCTCCACTTTCACTCTCTGTGATGTAGAGCTCTGTGTAGATCTCATTCAGGAGTGTTGGGTTTCCCTGCTTTGCTGTTCCTTCATACACACACTGAAACTTCTTCAGCAGGTTTGATTTAAATGTGCTTTGGACCAGTTGAGAATCACGACTGAAAAAATAAATTATTAGATTACAACAAATTAGTGTAAAATATCTGGTAACACTTTAGAATACTGTATCTTCATTAATGAATAATTACCCAGGAACTAATGAACAACAGAATATTAACATTCTAGTAACTAATATTAACTAACAAGAAACTGATTAATGAATTAGTAAGTAATAGCACACAGTCGAATGTGGTAGTTCACTATTAGCTAATCAGTAACTACTATTTTTCATACCTCACTGAGGACTACTAAGAACTACTATATACAGGCTCATAATTCATATTTTTAATGCATAATGTAAAATATAAGGTAATGGTAACCCATTGGTAATGAATCAAGTGTTACTTTATATTTCTAAAGGAACTACTGTCAGCATCCTGCCTCCTTTTGTTTGTCTCCGGGCCTCGAGAGGTCCCTGTGTTCCCCTCTGCCGTAGTTCTTCCTCTTGTGTCCAGTATCCAGGTCACCTGTGCCCTGTTTCCCCTAAAGTATTTTAGCTGTGTTTTGCCTCCTTGTTCCTCACTCGGTTTTTGAGTCTTGGCTATGCGTCTCCTGCCGTGTCCTTTCAAGCTATCCCAAGTAAGGTGGTCTTAGTTATTGGATTTTTTTTTCTATCATGTGATTCTTTACAGTATCAATACTGTTAGAAATACCTCTTTCTGAGAATAACTCTTGTTGGATTTGTTTTACTTGCAAAGTACCTTTTTTTTATATATTTTTTTAATAAATCTACTTTGCCTGGAGTATTGACTTGAGTGTTTTGTTTGGGTCCAACATTACCGCCTCTGTGGCGAAGTGATAGATCTCTCAACTCACCACACCTGAGACCTGAGTTTGAGCCTGGCTTGTGACAACTAATAATTTGGATCAGTATTCTAAAGTAAAAAGCTTGATAACTACCTAATATTGACTGAAGTCATTGGAGGTTTTGGATAGACTGACTCAAGTGTTACTACATCCTTCTTAAGGAACTACTAATTATTTGGATCAGTATTCTAAAGTTAAATTAATGGGAACACACTAGTAAAGACTACCAAATCTTACCAAATCCATCAGAAGGAATTACTATTCAAAATCGTACAAAAATATCAAAAGCTTACAATGACTTCAGTCGATATTGGGTAGTTATGTTTTTCACTTTAAAATACTGATCCAAATAATTAGTAGTTCCTTTAGAAGGATGTAGTAACACTTGAGTCATTACTAGTGGGTTACTGTGGCGAGGGGGGCGTGGTTCAGCGAAGTCTGTGGCGCGCGAGAGAGGACGGAGCCGAGCGGTGAGTAAATAGGTCAAGTGCAGATGATGAACACCTGTGTCTGATTGCAGTAATTGGCGTGGTGGAGAGACCGCATAAAAGCCGGCGGAAACGAGAGCGCGCGAGAGAGAGTTGGACAGGGAACTCGCGTGCTACTGCCACACCCGACGCCAGCTAGAAAGCTGCTGTTTGTTTTGTGTTGTTGCTCGTTGTGCTGTGTTACCACTGTGACTCTGTGAAAGCGCTACTGTGCGCCTCCTTTTGTTTTTGTTTATTTTTGTGTTTGAAAATAAATTCAAAACAGTCTCAGTCACGCCGACCCCTGTCTTCTTCCTTCCACCCACACACTGAACCTTATCACAGTTACCGTTACCTTTTATTTTAAATTTTGCATTATTCATGTTAATTATGAACCTGTATATATGGTAGTTCTCTAACAAAAAAATTGATATTGATTAGCTTTTAGTGAACTACCACATTCAACTGAATGCTATTACTTACTAATTCATTAATCAGAGTTTCTTGTTAGTTAATAGTAGTAACTAGAATGTTAATAGTGCATTACTCATTTGTTCCTGTGTAGTTATTCATTAATGAAGGAACAGTATTTTAAAGTGTTACCAAATATCTTTGTCTAGTCAGAAATGTTGTACCTCGGATTAGATGGCATGTGTCTTCCCCTAAATGTTTCTTGAGTGTCCATAGACTGTTCACTATATGGACAACATATATATAGACAAACAAGGACAGAATAGAGACAAACAAGGACAGAATAGAGACAAAATAATTGAGAAAACAGAGACAAGAATTCATATAGAGCCAGATCGAGGGACGCCAATGAGCGCCTCAACGCACCTGTTAACACGTTAATATAACACTTTATTTTAGCACAAGAATATTTTGCAGCTGAATATTAGTATAAAAAATAAATAGTTTTTAAAATGTTATTAGAAAGATGATGATCAGAAACATTTAAGTTGAGTGTTTAAGTTGTAAGGGGGAAATAATAAAATGGTCAGAAATGGCTCTGTCTGTATTTAATGTTTGACACATGTCCCAAATTACACCTATGTTTTTTGCATTATATGCCAAACGGTGACAGTTTAAACTCTGAGGCAACTTTCACGTTTATTTTTCCAAAGTCAGTAATTCAAAAAGTTTTAAAGATATTATTTTAGATTTCAGTTCTTAGCCAAATTTTCTTTCGATATCTTAATTTTTGAGGGCCTATGTGGTTCAATTCAATAAATGTATCTTGTTTTCCTCTATTAAAATAAATGCAAAAAACAAACCTGTCTGAGAGCCAAAAAACACTTTTTCCAAAGTTTGCATGCATGTAACTCGAGAAGATCTATCTATCTATGAAGTGTTGTACCTCAGATCAGTTGATGTGCGTTCTCCATTAAATGCTATTGGCTCTGTGATAGACGCGTCGTCACTCTTCATGGACACACAGCTGGGCTCCGGTGAGACTGATTTCTCCCTCTGGTTTTGACTTCAATAAAATAGAAACAAAAGAATAGAGATAAGAATTCTTAGATGATACTACAGTACATGTAGATAAACCTCACACAGAGAAACAATCCATCCACCTATCTTTTACCACTGGTTTTTAATCTGTTGTTGTGTTTGTGTTTCCCAGTAAGTGGTGTAGTTGTGTTTAGATTGGTTGAGTTTGTCATTATTGTTCTGGTCCAGATGATCAGTGTTGTGTGGGTCAGTAGATGTTAGTGAAACATCAGGACTGAAGCTCTGGGTCAGCGGTGAGAGGAGACCTGATCCTGTGCTCGACTCCTGCTATTGCAGCGCTTTATAATAGTGTGAGTCTCTGAGTTATACATGCTTACACAATATCATCATCCATTTCTGTAGTTTGATATTTGCCAAATGATGCCAAACATGCATTATTTGTGTGGATCTGTGGTCTCTCTGTCTGTCTAAACAAAAATGTTGTACCTCAGATCAGTTGATGTGTGTTTTGGCTCCATCATAGACGCATCACTCTTCATGGACACACAGCTGGACTCCGGTGGGTTTGATCTGTCATCCTCACATTGACTTTAATAGAACAACAGAATAGAAATAATAGAGTAGAGACCAGAATCAATATGGTTGATTTTACATGAAAATAAAATTACCCATGAGAACGTTGTATTTTAACTCTTTCCCCTCCAGCTTTTTTTTTTAAAAGTTACTAGTCACTGCCAGTGTTTTTGACTATTTTCACAAAATGTTCATGGCCCCCAGAATATTTTTTTGAATGAATATCTGAATATGTAATATATGAAAATAAAGAACAGACCCTCTCCCTTTAAAAAATAATAATAATAATATTCTAGCTTCATACATTCTTTTTTTTAATCAGCACCTGAATGTGGGTAAGTTTGATAAAAAAGCAACATTTTGAGCAAAAACCTGATAAAATCATGTTTTAATCAAAGGCTACATCCAGATCAGATTCAGAACGATGATCATAAACACAGATGGAGTGGATCGAGTCCATCAACACCTCAAAGCTTCTCAGTACTGTAGCTCGTCCTGGGTCGACATTTCATTCAGTAACATTAGGCAGTTTTGATTTATATGCCAAATTTGGGTTAAAACAACCCAGCATTGTTTAGAGCACACGTGTTGTGAAACCGATGAAGATGTTTTCTTAATTTGCGGGTGTTTTTCTATTTGCATGTATTTTCTTCAGTTGCAGCGCGTTGATCTCCCTCTGCCATCTTATGATCGCGTTATTTTACATAATTCATTTATTTTTATTTTAAGTTTATTTGAATAGGGACAAGTATGTTACATAAGCTCATGTTCCATACTACAACATTTTAGCCGAGGCTAATTCTCAATGTTAGTCCCTAGTGGACCTTTACATAAAATTACACAATACATAGTTCAAATAAACATAATAATACAATATAACACAATATAAACGCAGCGGACAGTATTTCTGACCTCTGATTAAAGAGTCTTTAAGTTTGTTTTTGAAAAGGAGCCAGTTTGACTCTCCTTTCAGTTCAGTGGGTAAGCAATTCCAGGCTTTAGTGCCTTGTACAGAGAAAGCTGATTGTCCAAATTAAGTTTGGATAAGCATATGATTACATATGAGATCGCTCAGTTTTTCACCTTCGTCGCATGTGCTTTGATCAGGAGATTTAATACTCTTTCAGGAGATGTGTAATGGGCTATATGCACGCATAACTTCCGCGTTTGATGCAAGGATGCTCTTGCGTTTCCGGTTGGGGAGATTTAAAGCGGAGGAAAACGGGATTATAGCAGAGTCTTCAAAATTTACTGTCCTCTCGTCTTTGAAACGAAACTTTAATACGTTTAGATGTAATTTTATATATAGTTATGTTTATTTAATATAATAAACAAAGAAGCATAAACAAAATGAGGGGTGTCTGTTTTGTCTGTTTTTGTGACTAACGTTTCTTTAGTATAGCAATAGAGTATAAAAACCAAAATAAATTCTCTGTATAGCATTGGACTCTGCGATCGGCGGAAGTAATCCAGCATCCTTAGACCTTCACCGGAAATACCGCCGTGCATAGAGCCCATAGCGCCCCCTACTGTATAACAGTGAAAACACGGAAAGCCGGGAAATTCCGTCAATGGCGGGGAAAGAGTTAAAGGGGACCTTTTATGCAAAATTCACCTTTACACAGTGTTTGAACATAAATGTGTCGGCAGTGTGTGTACACATAGAGGAGGACTTACCATTAGGCAAAGGTAGGCGAATGCTTTGAGACCCCAACAGTCAAGGGCCCCCTAAAAATGCTTTTTATATACAAGATTTGCGTTTAGCATGGATGTGCGAGCGGTTGCCATGATGTTCGTTTCCACGACAACCGTCTGCGTGTAAAATCCCCCTGCGCAGGATTTTTTTTTACAAAGGAGTTCAGCAGAAATCCCGCCGTCAGCTAATTTCATTGGTTAAGGTTACAGCGACGGGTAGGTTTGGATCATGTTCGGATTCATCAATCGGATTGATTTAATTCCGATTGAACCAAAAGGTGTCAATGTAAACGTAGCAACTGTTTGACATGACCAATGAAATCTTTCAAATCGACTGCGACTGCTTTAAAATTTTCGCCGAACTGTTTTTTTTTGGGAGGGGGGGGGGGGTTATGTAGCAAATGAAAATATCGTGCATCTGTAGGTAAATCTAAATACTGAGCAACAGTGCATGTTCTATTTTTATTGTTTTAAATGGCGCTCACAAGTTTCTGTGAAGGACCCAAGTAGAACGCGCGCAATTACTTTCACACAGGCACATAACTCGGACACCTTATTGAACGTGATACACATACTGAAGGCCGTACTTCATTTTTGGTTGAAATAATAATTTGTGTGTAAATTGGTCATTTCATTTTCATTTTCATTTAAACTTGTAGTTTCAATATAAATAAAAAAATTATATTAAAGTTTAGAATTACAGCCTAGCGTTATTGTGTTGACAGTTGCGCAGTGAAACTTACCCCAAAGCCCACGGATGCTGATGGACTCTGCCCTATTAGCATAGACCCCGCCCTCAGTGACATGAACACTGTCCGCCATTTTCTACATGCTGGAGCAGCTGTAGTGAATGATAAGAAAAATGTCCCAGTTCCCTACTAAGAAAGCCAGGTGTGTTGTTGTTGGATATAAGAGTGAGCATCAGACTCTTCATGCAGAAACTGAGCCACTGAAGACGCAGTGGATTCATTTAGTTTATGATGGAAATGTGCCCCTCAAGTTACCAAAAATCATTAATGTCTGCGCTAATCATATTACACCAGACTGCTTTGTGAACCAGGGTTAATACAAAGCAGGGGGCCTATGTGGTTCAATTCAATAAATGTATCTTGTTTTCCTCTATTAAAATAAATGCAAAAAACAAACCTGTCTGAGAGCCAAAAAACACTTCTTCCAAAGTTTGCATGCATGTAACTCGAGAAGATCTATCTATCTATGAAGTGTTGTACCTCAGATCAGTTGATGTGCGTTTTCTTTTAAATGCTATTGGCTCTGTGATAGACGCGTCGTCACTGTTCATGAAACAAAAGAATAGAGATAAGAATTCTTAGATGATACTACAGTAAATGTAGATAAACCTCACATAGAGAATCAATCCATCCACCTATCTTTTACCATTGCTTTTAAATGTGTTGTTGTGTTTGTGTTTCCCAGTAAGTGGTGTAGTTGTGTTTAGTTTGGTTGAGTCTGGTTTGGTAGAGTTTGTCAGTATTGTTCTGGTCCAGATTATCAGTGTTTTGTGGGTCAGTAGATGTTAGTGAAACATCAGGACTGAAGCTCTGGGTCAGCTGTGAGAGGAGACCTGATCCTGTGCTCGACTCCTGCTATTGCAGCACTTTGTAATAGTGTGAGTCTCTGAGTTATACATGTGGGACTGTGTGTGTTTGTGTGTTTGAATCACACTGAGAGCAGGTGGATGGTCACTCAAGATTGCACTTTACTGGGCCTGTCACAGACAAAACTGGGACAAACACGACCAAAAGCTGGTTAGTTTAGAACACATTAACGTTGTTCAGAAGTCAGCAGCGAGAGATGTGAGACTCTGGGGACGTAGATCCACCCGCAATATCACACACGCAAATGAGTGACGCAACAGCCAATGTCGAGTTTTCCCAATTAATGCATGAATTTACTCCGTTACACAAGCTTACACAATATCATCACCCATTTCTGTATTTTGATAATAAGTGGAAATTTGCTAAATTATGCCATATTCATTATGTGTGTGTGTCTGTGGTCTCTCTGTCTGTCTAAACAAAAATGTTGTACCTCAGATCAGTTGATGTGTGTTTTGGCTCCATCATAGACGCGTCACTCTTCATGGACACACAGCTGGACTCCGGTGGGTTTGATCTGTCACCCACACATTGACTTTAATAGAACAACAGAATAGAAACAATAAAGTAGAGACCAGAATCAATATGGTTAATTTTACATGAAAAAAACCCACATGAGAACGTTGTCTTTTAACTCTTTCTCCTCCAGCTTTTTTTTCAGTCACCACCAGTCACCGCCAGCGTTTTTGACCATTTTCACAAAATTTTCATGCCCTCCAGAATATTTTTGTATGAATATCTGAACATGCAATTGGCTGTATCAAAAGAAAGAACAGACCCTTTCCCTTTAAACAAAAAATAATAATAATAATCTGTTTTATTCCGGGAAAATTCCGTCATGCACGGCTCGAGCACCTCCCTCGTCTACCGTACTTATAATTTTTTAGTAATACGATACAAAATATGTAAACTACACGTCATTTGTAAGTTACCTTATTTTTTAGTTATGGCTTGTAGAAAGTTGTGATGATTCACCAATCTGTACTGATAATTACAGTTTTTCTCAGTCGCTTTGGTGCATTTCTCACATCACTTTTTACATTTGCACAACAGTTAATGCAGTTCTCAAAACAATTAGTTCAAACTGCAAAACCTAGTTGATAACCAGCAAAAGCGTGACACTTGCTCAAAATGGATAGTTCATTCCTCAAAAGCAAGTTTTAAGATAAGATAAGATAAGATAGTACTTTATTGTCCGTGTACACGGAAATTTGTCTTGCAATACAAGCTCCAACAATTATAGCACACACAAACTAAAAACAAAAACATACAGTCATCAATAAAAAGTATACAAAAGTACTTCCATAATATTATGGGTACTCCGCCCTGCAGGAGTGTTCTTCAATAGCCATAAATATATACATATATTAAAATGCAAGTGGGGGGGAAACTATCACTTCTTTCCCCTCATGTGTTGATTCAGCATCGATATAGACAGAGGAACAAATGAGTGCTTATATTTGTTCTTCCTGCACTCCGGGACCCTATAGCGTCTCCCAGAGGGCAGGAGTTGATACTCTTGATTCAACACATGGGAATAATCTTGGGTGATTTTATGAGCCAATCGTACAGTATGTACTTCATGACTTTCAATAAACGCCGTCTCAACCGACTGTCCCACCAATTTGGAACAAATTCCCCGGAGCCGGAAAATCCTGGCCTTCAAATGAGCTGAGAGGCCCCCAAACCACACTGCGCCTCCATACTGCAGAATGCTTTGAATGGTTGACACAAAGAAAAGAGACAGGATTTCACTACTCGCTCCGAATGACCTAAGTCTCCTTAAAAAATAAATTCTCTGTTGTACCTTTCCGCAGATGTAGTCTACATGATAGGTCCAGGAAAGGTCACAGTCCACATACACTCCAAGATATTTAAATGATGATTTTTGTTTTATGATTTGATTATGGATGATTAATGGTGTAATGTGGCATTCATGAGAGGTGCCGAAGATGATCTCTTCCGTTTTCTGTGTATTGAGAATGATAGCATTTTCATCGCACCACTCTACAAGATTATTCACTGTTTGCACATAAAGTTCAGCCCCTTCCCCCTCCTTCATCAAAGCTACCAGAGCAGTATCATCAGAAAATTTGATTTTTTTCCGGAATAAATTTGATATTTTAGTAATTGTTTTATTTTATTTTTTATTGTTCACTCTTATTTATCTATATGTTTATGTCTATTGCTTTGGCAATATTGTGCTATTGTACACATTCATGCCAATAAAGCTAATTTGAATTTGAATTTGAATTTGAGAGAGAGAGAGAGAGAGAGAGAGAGAGAGAGAGAGAGAGAGAGAGAGAGAGAGAGAGAGAGAGAGAGAGAGAGAGAGAGTCATTTGAGGGCTTGATGAGATTTTTCAACTCATGAATATTATGGATAAGGTTATTTTGGATCCAGAGATTATAGTAACTCACTTCAAGTAAAATGTTAATAATATTTTTAATAAATATACAGAAATCATTGTAATATGCTGATTTGCTGCTTGTTACGGTTCGTGTCTCGTGTTTCCCTCTACTTATGATGACGTCATGACTCTGTGCTTCTTTAGGCTGCGTCCCAATTCGCCTACTTATACTACGACCTAAAAGTATGTACTCTTTTTGTGAAGAAAAAGTACATACTTTTGAGTGTGTAGCAAAAGAGTAGGCAAGCTTCGGGACATACTACTTCGTCATCATTTAACGGACGTGCATCCAGTCACCTGCCCTGTCAATCACTTTCTCACAGTTAAAATCCTCCATTCAATCTAATTTAATTTCCTACCGTTTCGGAGAGAAATGTTGTGGCATGTTGATCTGCAGTCGTGGGTCTTTCATGCGGAGACTCTCCTCATGTGTTTGCAATTTGAATGATGCATTTAAAAGTTAATGGCTATAAACGTATCTTTACAAAAGTTCACAATGCTGCTGCAGATGTAATATAATGTAGACAACATTGAATAAATAAATGTTCGTCAGGTTAGATACTGATAATTAATCACTCAAACCCCTTTATCTAAACCTCTCTACATAACCACCGGACTCGCGCGTCCTCCATGTCTGTAGTTTTTTAACACTTGTCACTCGTGTTTGTAGTTCTAATCGAATCCTCGTCCAGCGCGCGATGGGTTGTGGGCAATATCAGCCGTTAGAGTGCGCATCGATCTGCACTTCGGATTCTGACCGGAAAAAGTAGACCATCCGGGTATCTTTGGAACACTCATTTCAACATACTACGATTTGGGACGTACTAATTCTATTTTCGAATACTATTTAGGACGGATAGTATGCGAATTGGGATTACTGATGGGTCTGCACCTGTGTATCACCTACACCTGCGCCTCGTTGGAGTCGGTGCTGATCCACTATAAGACGGACGCTGACGCGGAGTATGGCAGGAGAGAGGAGAACCAGCAAACAAGCATTTCTTTCGTGTTTCAGTTCTTTTATTTACTTTACTTGGTTGATCGTCTTGTTAATGTTTGTTGCCTTCATATTGTTTGAAGTATATTAGTTATATTTATTTGTGATACGTGTTTCTTGAGTTTTTGCGTGTTTGTAAGAAATAAATGTCAATGCAGCGCACTTGAGTTTCACGTGTCCTCCTTTATGTTGTGAAACCCTTACGTAGCCAGTTTTTTTTCCAAAAAGGGTTCGTAACACTGCTCAAGATTTCTCATTATTATCAATGTTGAAAACATTTGTGACGCTCTATATGTTTTTCAGGATTCTTATATGTTTTTCAGGATTCTTTAACAAATAGAAAATTCAAAAGATCAGTATTTATTTAAAAATCGAAATCTTTTGTAATATTATAAATGTCTTCTGCCAGTTTTGATCAATTTAATGCATCCTTGCTGAATGGAAGTATTAATTGCTTTAAAAAGACAACTCTCTGACCTCAAACTTTTGATTTGTTTAAAAAATGATTTCACCATCAGAACAGGAGACAGAGATGTGGATCACACACACCAAAACTGATGCATTATAACAGAAGATTGTGCGTAGTAAACTCTCATGTTTAATCGTGATTAGTTAGGCTGTAAGTGTCATCCTTTGGTCTAACCTATTCAAGTATCCAGTGACAGAATTGAAATGTCATATTGAATTCAGTGTATAATTCATAAATAAGGTAAGATACAAGTACTGTTTTTGGGCTTGAGAATGAAACCTCAATTTAAAATCTCAGTGTAGCTAAATATTCTGGCCTGACATAGAACATTTATAATTAAGGTATTTATAGCATTTCAAATATTTAACTTTCTCCTTTAAGAAAACTGATAAACTCAGGTTTAGCACAGACTATCAGAAACTCAACAGTGTCACTAAACCTGACTCTTTTCCTCTGGTCAGGATGAAGGATTGCAGATTGCGTGGGTTCAGCGCCATATGTTACTAAACTGGACTTGCTGAAAGGTTATTGGCAAGTGTCTGTTACTGCTCGTGCCTCTGATCTCTGCATTTCTGACACCGGATGACTTTCTGCAAGATACGCTCATGGCTTTCAGGATGAGAAGCGCTCCAGACACTTTCCAGCGGCTGAGAGGCATAGATAGATAGATGGATGGATGGATGGATGGATGGATGGATGGATGGATGGATGGATGGATGGATGGATGGATGGATGGATGGTTGGATGGATGGTTGGTTGGTTGGATGGATGGATGGATGGATGGATGGATGGATGGATGGATGGATGGATGGATGGATGGATGGATGGATGGATGGATGGATAGATAGATAGATAGATAGATAGATAGATAGATAGATAGATGGATGGTTGGATAGATAGATAGATAGATAGATAGACAGACAGACAGACAGAGACAGACAGACAGACAGACAGACAGATAGATAGATAGATAGACAGACAGACAGACAGACAGACAGATAGATAGATAGATAGATAGATAGATAGATAGATAGATAGATAGATAGATAGATAGATAGATAGATAGATAGATAGATAGATAGATGAGGGACAAAGTACTTCCTCAGTCTGTCTGTGGAGCAGGACAAAGAGAGAAACCTGTCGCTGAAGGTGCTCTTCTGTCTAACAATGATATTGTGCAGTGGGTGAAAGGCATTGTCCAAGATAGAAGAAAACTTGCTAAGGGTCCTCCTCTCTGCCACAGATGTTACAGAGTCAAGCTTCACCCCCACCACAGAACCAGCCTTCTTCACCAACTTATCCAGCCGCGTGGTGTCCCTTTTTTTAATGCCACTCCCCCAACATACCACAGCATAGAAGAGGACGCTAGCGATGACCGTCTGATAAAACATCTGCAGTAGCTTCTGACAGATATTGAAGGACCCTAACCTTCTCAGAAAATATAGTCTACTCTGTCCCTTCCTGTATAGGGCATCTATGTTTTTGGACCAGTCCAGTCTGTTGTCCAGCTGCAGACCGGTGTATTTATAGGTCTGGACCAGCTCCACACAGTCACCTTCAATAAGCACAGGCTGCAGTTGGGGCCTCGGTCTCCACACTCCACCAAAGTCGACCACAATCTCCTTCGTTTTTGTAGTGTTGAGCTGTAGTT